GTCGTGGATAGAGGTATCCAGAGCTTGGACAAGTACACTCACGGTGGATCAGATGTTTTTAGGAATGTTTTGGAATTGAGTTATAATAGAATGTGTGACGAGTTGAGGGACTGCTTTCTTTATTTGGGGGTGTTCCCAGAAGATTATGAGATCCCGGCTTAAACATTGACCCGGCTGTGGATTTCCGAGGGGTTTGTTCAACCAAGGCAGGGACAGAGCTTGGAGGAGAGAGCACGCGAGATCCTAATGAATCTCATCGACCGCAACTTGGTCATCGTTGATAAACTTAAAAGCAACGGTGACGTCAAGACTTGCCGGATTCATGACACAGTGCACGACTTCTGTAAAGCCGAGTCCGAGGTGAAAGAGAATCTCTTCCAAGTATTGACAAAAAATGCCGATGGAACTTTCACCAAACCTTCCCAAAACAATCCGCACCGTCGTATTTGCATTCATTCCAACGTCCTGGAATTCTTCTCTCCAGAGCCATATGCCCCAGCTACTCGTTCTTTCCTTGATTTCTCTGAAGAAGAAATCGCCTTGCCGACAGAGGACATCCCCAAAATCCCGGGGGCCTTCGACTTGGTGAGGGTTTTACATGTCAAGCCCCTCGTGTTCAGAATATTCCCACTTGGGCTGACGCAGCTCGTGCTTCTCAAGTACGTGGTCCTGTCTAGTGACTTCAAAGTCCTTCCAGAAGCCGTTTCCAGGCTAAGCAACGTGCTGACTCTCGTAATCCATACATCGTCCCGTACTTTGTCAATCAAAGCCGATATTTGGACGTCGGCGGTCCAGCTGAGAGACTTGAAGACAAACGCGTCAATTACTCTGCACAAAAAACCAGCAGCTGGCAAAAACCGAGGGGGCCAGCATCTTCAGACACTGGCCAACATATCACCGGGCGATTGCACCCTCGAGTTGTTCGAGCGAGCACATCACCTCAAGAAATTAAGGCATTCGGGGAATACTTGCCACTATGAATTTCGACAACTTGGGAGTACTAAATGAGCTTGAGAATTTGAAGCTGCTGAATGATGATATCCATGATATCATGACCCCACTCAGTCTTCCTCTTCCAGACAAGTTCCCCCGAAAACTTAGGAGCTTGACGCTATCTGCCATTTTTCTCAGTTGGGAGCAGATGTCTGTCCTAGGAATGCTGGAGAATCTTGAGGTACTCAAGCTGAAAGACAACGCGTTCGTGGGTCGATGCTGGGAGGTAGGCACCGGTGGTTTTCGTAGCCTTGAAGTGCTGCACATTGGGTACACAAACATAGTTTCTTGGGAAGCTTCGGATCACGACTTTCCTAAGCTTAAATGCCTAATGCTTAGAAATTGTGATGAACTTGAATCGCTGCCCCAAGTGCTTGCAGATGTACCGTGCCTATAGACAATGATCTTGCGCCGGCTCAGTAGAACGGCTGTGGCTTCAGCAAGAAAAATCCAGCAGCAAATATAGGGAAAATACGAGATATTACCCATTAATTTTTGGGCAATCGAGCGCCAAGAATCGCCTCTTGAATTATCAACGGCGCTGCTGCGTGTCGGAAAAATCTGGGAGCTCCGATTGACGATCGAAATATGCCATTTAATGCCCAGACGAGAAATGGCTCTTCCATTATTACTAATACTGATGGAGGCTGGCCATTTATCCCACGCGTTATTTTCATAGTTTTGTCCTTTAAGTCTAAAAAGTAATAATGTTATTATTTATTTTCTACCTCTTTTAATCAACATTAAGTCTAAAAAATTATTAAGTCTCCCTCTGGCAAATATATATGGAGTTATGTGTTCGTGTCTCATAAGTCACAAACATTATGAATAACATTACAAATTATTCATTCAAACTTTTATTCAATGCAAATATATTAAAATAGTTTATATAACAGTCATTAAATACCACTTTCAATATATTTATAAATAAAAAATACATAAAATTTCTGGTGTGTTCAAATTTAAATAATTTTTGATGGGCTCAATTTTAAATCATCCAGACATTTGGTCAAACACATAGGTGTGTTAAAATTTAAATCATTGGCATATATTTATAAATAGAAAGTACATAAAATTTCTGGTGTGTTCAAATATAAATAATTTTTGATGGGCTCAATTTTAAATCATCCAGACATTTGGTCAAACGCATAGGTGTGTTAAAATTTAAATCATTGGCATTTCGGTCGGTTGAAATTTAAATCATCTACCATGGTACTGTGATGTGTATTATATATAGATATATATATATATAATTTTTTAACAAATAATATGTGCTTTATAAAAAAAATAATAATAATAATAATTTCACAAGATTTTAAACGTAAAATTTGGTTTTTAATCACAGTAGAAAAATCATGGTAAGTTGTATTAAAAAAGTGTTATGAGATAAAACAATTAACTAAAATAATTAAATAAAATACTTGATGGAAATAGAATGCATTAATTACCTTTAACTTTTCTTACTACTAATTCAAGTAAATAGAATGTCTTTTTATATAAGTATAGATATCTATAACTCGATGAGTCATTTTCTTGAAAATTTTAAAATACCCACATTACCATTTAATAGGGGTGAGAATGGGTCGGTACGGTTCGGAGATTGAGAAATCTCCAAAACCGTACCAAAATTCGGAGATCACTAAATTCGATCTCCGTAACCATACCAAAAGTTGGGGACGGTTTGGTTTTGAAATTTTTATTTTTGGGTTCGATTCAGTAGTCGAGACTATCAGAACGGTTCGATTCGGTATAGTTCGGTTCATATCTTCGAAAATTTCTTATTCTTTTTTATTTATTTATTTTTTTTTTTTTTNAATGACTACCTAATTATATTTTAATTTTTATATGCTTTAGAAAAAAAAAACAATATTCACTTAATACTTAAACATATTGAAGATTTTTTTTTTTAATCAACTTTAGAAGTAACTATAGATTTTAGTTATTTAATTTTTATATGTTTTAAAAAAAAAAATCATCAATACTTTCTCATATTAAAGATTGTGTTTTGAAATCAACATTAGAAGTAACTCTAAATTTTAGTTAAGACCAAATTTGTGCAACTAATATTAAAAAATTTAAAATTCAAACGAAATATTATTTTTTTCTTAAAATATATTTTTAACCTTTCATACCATTTTAAATAATTTTTTTATAGCAAGAAAAATTCCATGAAAAATTCAATTATAGATCAAGTATTACTAAGTATGAAATTTAATTAAAGCTTAACTATTATTACTATATTTTACTTGCATAATAAAATTTCTCAAATCATATATGATCAAAGTTGACATAAAATATATTAATAACACACATCTAATGTTATAATTCGGTTCTTAATTTCAGTTCTTCAGTTCTATTCGGTATGGAACGGTTCGGTTAAATTCTCCTTACGGATATTTGTGAAATCTTTAGAACCGTACCGATTATTTTTTTCAGTTCGATTCGATTCGATAAAAGTCAAATTCTCAACGATTATTTTTCGGTTCGGAATGAGTGCGGTTCGGTTTTCAGAAAAATTCTGAATTCTCTGATTTCCATGTTCAGCCCTACCATTTAAGGACATAAATGTATTAGTATAACTTCATTACTATTTCATCCAACCACATGTAAATAAAATCTGAAATGTCACTAATACCCTCAATAGAAAGTAGGGATCGTCTATTGTCAGGTACCCTTAGTACCTCCTAACATTAGGTACCCTCTTTATATCACCATTAGATTGACTTAAAATCAATATGAACCATTAGATTAAGGTACGAGGTTGGTACAAGGTAACCAAAATTCTATTTTGTCTTGTACCACCCTTGTACCAACCTCGTACCCCTTGTACTTGCAAATAACCTATAATACCCTTATGTAATTAAAGATTAAAATAATTTATTAATTTATAATTATATTTATCTTTAAGTCCTTACATCTAAATTATTACTACAACAATCCTTCAAATACAAAACTATTTCATCAAAACCTTAACATTTGTCATTATCATTTCCATCCAATTTGTTCCTCGATTTAATTTATTTTTTGCTTTTGTCTCCCCCCTCTCTCCATCATTCAATCGAAGAAGATTTCCAATCCGTATATGTATATTTTCAAACGATTGTCGATGGTGAATCTGAAAATACCGATATATGGCCCAATCGGACAATACCGATTCTTTTGTCTACAGAGATATGTTGAATCCAGGTATATTTCGAATCCATAATTATTTCGAATGTATGCTTCGTCTCCGTGATTTGTTTCGCGAAATTTTATGACGTACGACACTGTTTGCAAGATCCCGGAATTTAAATTCATGTATCTCAAATGTATTGTGTGATTTTTGTATTCAATTCCAGATTGTTGACCTTTAACTCCTATTTTGATAAAATTTTTATGTTAAATGGTTTATGCTTCACATTCGTGTAATCGTGTAATCGATTCTTTTGAATATAGATCTGATTTGATTAGGTGGATTTGTGAAATGAGGATAAATTGTGCTTTTGGTGAATCGTTAATAAGAATATTTCATGATTGATGAAATGCCTCAATAATATTGTATATTGTGTTACTTAGATGTTAATATCCAGTAAGGTAAAAGAAAAATAAAAACGAATAAACCATGAAATATTCGGTTTTGAACTTCCTTCTGCGTATCAAACAATTTACTCCTGTTCATTCTTGGACTTCGACAAACCTGAACCGAAGTTCGATTCACTTGAGATGATCTCCGTACCATTAGGATACTTGGTGATTATCGTAATGAAGTCAATCATAGAACTTTGATGTTGGCATATGGTCGTCAAGGTCAAAGTATGTTTTAAGCTAGTTTCTTATCTATATCTCTCTCTAAAAAATGTGTTGATTCTAGCATTTGTTTCGTACTAATTTCATTCTTGTATCTTCGACAGAATCTACTTATATTATAGAAATTGTATCCAATTCCTGAATTGTCATGCTGACTTCGGACTATATATTTGAAATGCAGGAAACTTATTGACCTACTTGTTAAATTATTATTAGGCGATCTACAAGAACACTTGTTGTTTTGTTGGGTAAGCGGCTCTCTCAAAACTTCCATATGTCATGGTACAAAAACAATTTTTAGTAGTTTGTAGTTTGTGATACATAAACATATGGTTTACTGTAGGATATGTTTCATAGCACTCAAACTGGCTTCAACACTCTTGAAAACTGTGATAAACCTTTGGTTTTCAAGGACATCAGGAAAATCTGGGAAAGTGATGGTCCTAATTTACGTTGGAAAAAGGGACAATATAATGAAACAAACACGTTATTGTTGGATGATTCTCTGTATAAGGCATTACTCAATCCAGTAAGATTCGTACCTTCGTACCTGTATATTTCTTGTGTGTGTTTACTTTTTTTCAGTTATGTCCTAACTGTTTGTTTTTCAAATTCCCTATAGTTGCACACGGCAATATTCCCCAATTCATACAGTTACAAGGATAATAAAAGTGACAATTCCTTAGGTACTGTTCTCGGTGTATTTTTGTTGTTATATATTTGTTTGTTCTTTTCTTTTCGTGGTTATTTTTTACCGAACGGTGCCCTCACATTAAAATACATACTTATTTTGTTAAATTTTGTTGCAGGCCCAAAAGGTGACCTTCGGGTCTATTTGGAAGGATTGTTGACATACGAAAATGTGCAGAAATATGTCGAGCAACATCCTTTTGGTCAAAGTGCTATAACTGAAACTAGTCTGTCTTGGGGATTTTATTCAAATGTTATCCAGACAGTCAATCGGGGTGGAAAATAACGAAGCAAATACAACCTTTTTATGCTCTTCACAAAGTCAATCGAGCAACATCCTTTTTAGATGTTGAAGCATTGTTCACTTACAGTTTGTTTTTTAGAGCAGATGTTTGTGTTGTAAATTTTAGAGCATATGTTATTGTCGGGGTTTTTTTTTCATTGAATAGGCCTTCATTTGAAATATCATATTCTTGCACAAACTCTAACTGTAGACGATGGGTACATAAGAGTTCGAGTTCATATTCGCTTGCATTTTA